AGAGAGAGAGAGAGAGAGAGAGAGAGAGAGAGAGAGAGAGAGAGAGAGAGAGAGAGAGAGAGATGTTCTGTAGGAGAACATGAATGGCTGTGGCAACCTGGAGCTCTGCACTAGGGAGTAAGGAGGGGAGAATGGAACGAAGTAGTTGGTCGTCATCCTGTAGGATGACACTTCTGTTTGGATTAGGAAAAATAAATTTAAGGGAAAAACAAAATCAACAAATGTTATGACATTATGCTATGTGTATTTTATGGCAATTGAAACTCCTACTACTATTTCACCACCAAAGAATCATTTTTATAATTATTATCAGTTATTGATTTCCTACTCGTTCATGCAGCAGAGAAGTTAAGGGCAAGGGCTCTAGAGTCAGAGATCTTTGTGTTTGAGTTCCAGCTCTACCACTTACCATGTGATCTTGAACAATTAAATTTCTCTGCACCCTATTTTCTCATCTGGAAAATTTGAATATCTGCGTCTTCCTTAGAGAGCTGTAGTGAGGATTATATGAGATCGTAAAGATTGTTATTAATATTTTTCAGGGACTACATATAGTAGGTGTTTTATATATTTTATCTATTTTAATCTCCTAAAAAAGTTCTGAGGTATATATTACCAGCCCACAGCCTCCTAGTATCCCACCTACCCCTACTATCACTGACGACAATTTCCATGAGGAGATTCATGAGAGCTTTACTCCCCCAAACTGATTAAAAGAGTGGCTTCAAGATCACTTCCTTCCTCTCTTCTTTGGATGGTGCATTCTATCCTGTGCATAGCTGCTCTCCTGGCACAGTTTCTATGACAACCTGTCTCTGGGATATTTTTCTGCTCATCCATAGTACGCATGGCTCTCTTGTTACAAAAAATAAAACCATCAAATAAAGCCTCACATCAAGGTTTTGTTAATGGAAAACCTTTTGTTCACGGGGAATCTCAGAAAGGGGCCATGATGCTACATCCACCAAGGCAGTAAATTGCTTTCAACTGTTTATGTTTAAATGTTATAAAGCCCCATATACACTCACTCTCTCCAGCACAATAACTGGAAGCATACAATTAGAGCTCACAGTTACTAGTACAACACAAAGCAGAGGTACAGTTTCATCCTTATGTTGGAGCTTTCTTAAAATCTTTTGGTTTTATTGTTTGTTGTAATGTGTTCTATAATACCACAGTATGTAAATACTGGGAACTCTGCGCACAATTTAACTCTAATCTACACCCTAGGAATCAATAAGCATATGAAGTGGCTTAATAGAGTTAACACCCTAAGAATTGACCAGGTGGCATTCAAAAGTATTGTTGTCAAAATCAACACAGAAGTTTTATTATTTATCATGTTCCAGGCCAGTAATTCACACCATGAAGACAGCTCATAAGGCCCCATGCCTCTCCCATCAGTGGACCTGACTAAAAGGCCTGATGCTTCCTCTATCAGAACATGCCTGTCTTCATCTCGGAGAAAGCCTTTCATGAAGGTGCTGCTCACTGTGTCAAGTGTTTAGACTGAAAATATTCCAAGTATACACAGCAGTATGATTTTGTGCCTGCTTACTAGCAAATACTTGTTTGCTTAGAATATTATGGTCTGAAATGTGCTTTTGCTACAACTGCATGGTAGAAAAATGGTAGGTTGGAAACACAGAGCAGCCACCCCCCTCTAAGTGCTGGAGAGCTCTGATGGAGTCCAAAATGACCTGACTTTCACAGAATGGTAAACTGGGTTAAGTTGGTTCAAATTCTCATCCTCTGTTCCCTGATATATACCTCATAATAATTCTGTATAGCTGAATTTCCTCCTGCCACACCAGCATTTTCTTCATTAACAGGCTCATTGACCTTTATACAACTGCAGTCTACTGGTTAGAATACCACATTCAGGCAATGCGGAAATGCTCTGGTTTCCATAACCACCACTCAGGTACTGAGTCATAAATCCTCATGCTAGCTCTCAGACTCTTTTTTTTTTTTTCCTTTTAAATAGATGTTATTTTTTAGAGCAGTTTTAGGTTCATAGCAAAATTGAGTGGAAGGTACTGAGATTTCCCATTACCCTCTGTCCTCTCATATACACACAACCTCCCCACTATCAACATCCCCCACCAGAGTGGTACATTTGTTGCAAATGGTGAACATACATTGACACATCATTATCACCCAAAACCCATGGTTACATAGGGTTCAGCCTTGGTGTCAGAGAGTCTATGGGTTTTGATAAATGTATAATGACACATATCTACCATTATAGTATTATACAAAATAGTTTCAATGGCCCAAAAATCTTCTGTGTTTTACCTATTCATCCTTCAGCATATGAACTGGGGCAGGGAATGACCTCCCTTCCCCCAGCAACCACTGAGTTTATTGTCTCTACAGTTTTCCTTTTTCCATAATGTCATATAGTTGGAATTGGACAGTGTTTAGCTTCCTCAGATAGGCTTTTTTCACTTAGTAATATGCATTTAAGTTTCCTCCATGTCTTTTTATGGCTTGACAGCTCACTTTATTTTAGTGCTGAAAAATATTCCATTGTCTGGCTGAACCACAGTTTGTTTATCCATTCACCTACTGAAGGACATCTTGGTTGCTTCCAAGTTTTGGCAGTTACGAATAAAGCTGCTATAAACATTTATTTGTGTGCAAGTTTTTGTGTGGACATGTTTTCAGCTCCTCTGAGTAAATAAATACTAAGGAATTTGATTGCTGGATCATTTGGTAAGATTATGTTTAACTTTGTAAGAGACCGCCAAACTGTCTTCCAAAGTGTCTGTACCATTTTGCATTCTGACCAGTAATGAATAAGAGTTCTTGTTGCTCCACATCCTGGCCAGCATTTGGTGGTGTCAGTTTTATGGTTTTTGGCCATTCTCATAGGTGTATAGTGGTATCTCCTTCCTGTTTAAATTTATATTTCCCTAATAACATATGAAGTAGAGCATCTTTTCTTATGCTTATTTCCTATATGTATATCTTCTTTAGTGAGGCGTCTTTCAGGTCTTCTGCCTTTTTTTTTTTTTTTAATTTTATTTTTTTAGTCGGGATGTTTGTTTTCTTATTGAGTTTTAATAATATATTTTGCATAACAATCCTTTATCAGATATATCTTTTGCAAAGATTTTATCCCAGTCTGTGGCTTTTCTATCCCAGTCTGTGGCTTTTCTTGTCATTCTCTTGACAAGACTCATTTTTTATGTAGTGAAAACACACATATTTGCTTATGCATGGGACTCGTGTACATTTATATTTGCTCTTCTATTCATTCAGCATATATTTATTAAGCATCTGCTAAGTATGAGGAACTGTGCCCAAGATAAGATTACCAACCTAAGCATGGGGTTGCACATGCCTCTAAGATATAATGGTGCATATTTTAAATCCTAAACTTGTATTCACACCCTTTGCAACTTAGCCTCTGAAATACTGCGAAGCCTGTCCCTTCCTCTTTATTCCCGGAGACTACCCTGACTACTCTCCTTATCATGGCAGATGATCACACCGAATGGGTTTCATTTCTCAATCAGGTCTCCCCCTTCCAGTTCCTCCTCTACATGGCTGATAGTCATCTAAAATTTAGATACATTCAGGCTATATTTCTGGTTAAAAAATGTATATGACCCGCAGTTGTAGCGGGTATCAGTTTTGTTCTGCAACACTAGAGTGCAAGAGATATCACTTCTCTTAACTTCTCTAAAATAGTTAAATTTTGCTGATCCCTCTTCTATTTAATCAATGAGAAACTCAATTTCAGTCTTTTTATTGGGCTCCTTCTCCCACCAAGGGTCTTTCTTCTCCTACCAAGGAATCTCATACAGAATATTCAAGAATGGGTTTCCTGGTATTAGTTTACAATGCTTGCCTCTGATCTTTACCTTGACTGTATCCAGGTGGTCCCATGAAAGTAGATATGCCAAACCTAGCTCTTTAGAAATATTTGGTTTCTGGCCAGCAAAGCAAAAGCATCTGAGACAAGGAAAAGCAAAAGTTAGGAACCTTCTTCGGTGGTAGTAGTTAAAAAATATATGAAACAAGAGAAACAAAACAAGTTATCCTGCCTCACGGAAAGAATCCTAATTCCTTAGCATGGCTACGAGACAGGTACGCTTTGCAATTTCACCTTCATCCCATGATGTGCTGCAGCCAGTTCACACCAGCTCATGAGAGCCAAGTGCTAGATTTTTAGGAATGTTGTGAGCCAGTTGTTAAACATAGCTCTTATTTAAAATTAAATAATATAAATACCACTGGATAACCCTTCCTACTTCCCTGAAAAGCCCTGTCATCCCCATCCGAGCTCTCAAAGCACTTTGTAAGTACTCGTATTATAACAAATTTGACATTGTTCCTAATTGTTGTTTTTACTAAAATATCCCCAGACTATGAGCTTGTCAATAAGATTTTTCATTAGGAATTCAATAATTGTTTGGTGAGTGAATAAGAGATTGACTCTTAGAAGTTAAAACCTATTCCCTTCCTGGTATTTTGGGATTACCCCTCTACCCAGTAGCACTCATAGTTTCTCAACTCAAGCTTTACATACCTGGGAGTCTGAGTCCTTTCATTTATTTTTATTCTTATTTTTTGTTAATCCCCACCTGAGGATATGTTTTTCCATTGATTTTTTTTTTTTTTTAGAGAGAGTAGAAGGGAGAAAGAGAGAAACACCGATGTGAGGGAGAGAAAGACACATCAATTGGTTGCCTCCCACACTCACCCCGACCAGGGCAGGGAGCATGAACCTGCAACCAAAGTAAGTGCCCTTAACCAGGAATGGAATCCACGACCTTTCAGTGCATGGGTCGACGCTCTAACCACTGAGCAACACCAGCCAGAGCAATTCCCTCCATTTTTGATCACTCGTCACAAGAAAAGCTTGGTCTCTCTCTACAAGAGATGTGACTTTCATTCTCCAGGGCTTTTACTCTGGTGGAGGGTTAAAATGTGATCAAATACAAGTAGTAAAGAAACAAAGAATGTTTAACAATCTCCTGATGTACAGAGAGCAAATGACAAGTCTCGACATCCACATATAATGCCCTGTGGTACATGAGCCTAAAATGAGATGTCCATGTGGCTGGTTGGTGAGCCAGTGCAGCACTCCCTTCAGCCCAAATTGATACTTTGGAGGCAGAGAGTGGATATGGTGAAAACTGTGGGACTGGCTGACGTGCAGGTTGTTAGGCAGGTTTGTGGATGGACAAAATGGCCAGAAGGGTTGCTCATCACATAGGTTACCTGGGAAACATCTTTTAAAATGTTGTGAACACTCTGGAAGGTACATGTCAAACATGTGACAAAGACTGAAGAAAACAGAGGTTGAAAAACCATTGCTTTTGATTTTAGACTAGGCAACCTCAAGCACAGAACTGTTTCACCTAATTTCTGATTCCACAAACAGCTTTGGGGAAATAGTTGTTGCTTTGCCCTAGTCTTCCCAGAACAAGAACCAAACATACCCGATGACACCAGCACCCCACTGCCAAGCTGGCACCGGCAAAGATGTGGGCTATTTGCAGAGAGCACACCGCCTCTGCTGTGAGTGGGCAATAAACTACCAGGGAGATTCGTGCTGCCTGCCTGGAGACTGGGTTGCTAGGTGCCTCTGAAGTAGTGAGACCGAGAGGTGTACATTATTTCCCCCACACTTCTTATTTTACACAGTGACAGTTGTAGCCTGGAAACAAAAGGAAAGAATAGCATCTGTGGTATTAGAAATAATGGCCAGCCAAGGGCCCTATGGGGCAGAAGGAGCAGGGTTGAGGCTTTTATCAAGAGCAGGAGAAAAAAAGTAATGTGATTTGGTTTCACCATAATTGCTTAAGCAGCCTGGGTGAGAACTAATTATGAGTTCATCTGGCTCCAGAGAAACTCCCCTCTCCCCTTCTCCAGGATGGTACTAAAATATCAGCATTGCGTCACCAGAAATCACTCCCATTGGTGGCCTTTCTTAAGGAGAGCAGCGGCTCTGCTCTCTGAAAGTCACTGGAATCTGAGTAGACCAGGAATTTATAGCTTTCCAAGGCAAATAAAATATTCCTGGCACTCACTTGTCACTTGAAAACTCAGAGTGTTTATCCATTATTATATCACAGAGGAAGTTTTGTTTTAAAAATGTGGGAGTGATGAAATGCAGAGAAGAGAAGGAAGAGACAAGTTACAGGCTCTACGTCACTACAACAGCTCTGCCATTGTTAGACTCCGAGGGAAATACTGGTTTTCAGAACCAGGCTGTTCATTGATGATATCTTGACACTCCAGGGTTCTTGCCAGGCTCTAATGGCTCTAAAGAGGTGAGTATTTTTGCTCAGTAAGTTAGTCGCCTAATTCTCAAAAATGCAGAGCTAACATTGGAAGTCAGCAGGATAGAGCTTGAATTAGTTAGTAGTCTAAATTACTTCCACCTAGATGAAAGTTAAGTAATGCTGTTCTAATATGCTTACTTGTACTCTTTGTGAGCTCTGAGAATGAGGCAAGTTGGATTGTGTAACAGAAAGAACATGGGTTTAAATCCTGGATCCAACCTGGGTTCAAATCCTGACTCTGATGCTTAACAGCTATATGTAAGTTACTTGCCTTCTCTGAGTGTCAGATTCAACTGAGAAATGAGGTAAAAATATCAGTCCTTTTGCAGTATCTATGTAAGGATGAGAAATGTGTAAAGTGTCCATGTGACACTTGGAACAGAGGATGTACAAGATAAATGGTAGCGCATGTCCCAATTATCTCTCAGTGAGAAGGCCTAACTTGAGCCTCTGCAGGAGTGGCACTGTGCAGGTTAGAAAGACATGCCACACGTGACTTTTGTCTTCTGAACCATCACAATTTAGTTAGATGGGGAGGGCAGTGGAGGTAGAGGGGGATTAAAAACTGTCTCACACAAGTAGCAGAGAAACAACACTATAGAATTAGAGTCTAAATCATGTGGTTCAAATTCTATGTGGGGTAGGAATTCAGGGAAAAGGAAGGACAATGTGGGTGGAGCCATAACTTCAACCAGAACTTGAACAGAAAAACAGACACAAACAGGATTTGCCAACAGATAAGATTTACACAGAAGTCAAACAGTTGATGTAACAAAAACAGAAGGCTAACCCATTGAGAGACTCATTTTGGCACCCAAAGGACATGCTATCAAAACCAGCCAGCTCTGGTTGCTTATTCTGCAGGGTCACATTCTTGAAGAGAATGGAGCCCTTTGGAAGTTCTAAGCGTAGATCCTATCTAGGCTCACCTGTGGTAGATGGGACCTGAGCGGCCACCTTTATTTTGCAAAAAAAGTCAGCTTACGGTTAGGAAATGAGGAGCAAAAATAAACCATCCAACTCCATAAAAAGTCCAAACTGCAATACAAGTTTAAATGTACTGCTTTGTAAGTGAAATGGTTTACTCTACCCATGACTCTGTTGATCTCCTTGTCATAGATTTATTTAAATATATATTGGGCTTATGCTTAATTCCATAAACATGGATGAACAATAAATAGCACTTCATTTTCTGTAATTCATAGTAATTTGAATCTGCACCCCCAGGAAAATCTAACCTTTGTAATTACTGACCACTTTCTTAGTGTGAGAAGAGGAGGGCAAACACAATAGCACTGATTATGTATTTAAGTTACACCCATGCTTTATATTTTGTATAGATTTGCCTAAATACTATATGAACTTGAATATAAATGATACTTTCTCCAAAAATTATGCCATAGAAATAAAAATAATTGCCCTATATTTGAGTCTTTACAAAGTCTCTCTTATTATAGGAGTTCTATTCAATTATTTTGAAAAGCTAATTGCATATATCCAAATAAAAGGTATAATTTTTCTCCAAATTTTTCTTAGAGATAAAAAAGCTCACCTTATATTTGAACCTGTACAATGTCTCTCCTGTTATGGGAGGTCTATTCAATTATCCCGATTCAGTCTCAATAAGTACAAGTTCAAATGCTAGAGAAAAAAAGGTAAAAATATTTTATATAGATTCGAAATTATCCCTAGAGGTATGAATTCTAAATGATAACAGTTGGGTGGCATTGTAAATAATTCTTTTAAAGATCAACTTAAAAAGCAGTATAGTAGGGATTAGATTGGAAAGATTATAAATGTAAACCCATGGTATGGACTGAATGTTTGGGTCTCCCCAAAATTTATATATTAAAATCCTAATCCCAAATGTGATGGTATAAGGAGGTATGGCCTTTAGAAGGTGATTAGGTCATTAGGGTGGAGCCCTTGTTAGTGAACTTCCTGCCCTCCAGAACTATGAGAAATAAATGTTGGTTGTTAAGCCATTCAGTCTATGATATTTTTGTTATAGCAGCCTGAACAAACTAAGACAACCCGTATATGAAATAAACTAACTGTGGAGTGAAGGTGACTGAGTGACTGAAAAATGCTCATTTGTTTTTTATACTTTTCTGAAACCCCATGAAAACATGGTAAATAATTTTTTTCCAGGACATCAAATCATAAAGGATAAGAATAAGGGAAGACATGACAACCTCGAAATTTGAAAGTTGGGAAGGTTAATGAAAGGTAACTTATGTGCCAGATTCAAGAGTGCTGGGTCCCAAGGTGGCAGAAAACCTGAGAAGCATTTGATTATACACAAGTTTTGAGAACTGGAGGCACTGGGCAGCTCAGGAAGTGAAATGAAGGTAGCGCAGAAAACAAGAAGCAGTTAGAGTCTCAAATTTCTCTACCCCCAGCAAAAGCCTAGAGGTTTATTTTTTGAAAAAGCTAAAAGAGAGGATTCTAGGAGAGCTGGTGGGTGGCAATACAGGACAGAAAATTGTGATTAGGTGGATGTTGGCATGTTGAAAACAAAACTCATCCCTGCCCCCTACTCCTCTACTTGGCTCTTAGAATGCTAGCAATTAGGCCAGAAAGCAGTTCAAAGCTATTTCTCTAATGAGTCCAACCCAATTCACACACACACACACACACACACACACACACACACACACA